CACTCTGGTCAACCACGGGATGCTTAATGCATTCGTGGAGAAATGGAATTATGAGACCTTTTCGTTTTATCTCCCGCATTGTGAGGTGTCTATCACACTAGACGATGTCTCGTGTTTGTTACATCTTCCGATCAGGGGAATATTTTTCGATCATGGTAGGATGACCAAAGACGAGGCAGTCGAGATTATGGTAGAGCATTTGAGTTCCTTAAGGAAATATATGATGATGAGATCCTTGTTGCACATGAGGCTCATGGTGATGTTGCGCAGGTGGCGATACACAGGGCTCATACTTTGAGGGCATATTTTCTTTTTTTGGTTGGCATTTGTATTTTCGTTTACACGAGTTCCACTTATACTGACGTTGCATACCTCTGATATTTCTTGGATCTGCAGCAGGTCCATGAGTACAATTGGGGGCGACTTTCCTGGCCTATCTATATTCGAACTTGAAAGATGGATGTCGGTGGAAGACGAAGCAGGTCACAGGCAGCGTGACACTACTGGTGGTAATATTTCTTGTTCCTTGAATGTTTTTATTTTCATTTCATATTTGCGAAACCATTGCCGATAATTCTTGATCCTTGAATGTTTTTTTATTTTTATTTCAGGCTTGGATCCTCCAGCACTTCTCGCACATCGCTGGTCGGGCGAGTGTGGACGAGTACACTATGTACATGCCCCGCGCTTGTGCTTTTATCCCGCTTAGAGGGAACCAAACGGTCGAGCCTTTCAGAGTCTACCTTGACTATTTGGTTGATGAGGACATGCACTTCAACAGCTATGTGGATCACCGTCAGACGTGGTTATTTGACAAGATATCATTATACTTTGGATGATTACCTTGCGGATCGCGTATCACTGCTCCTCACCTTCCTAACCGCGTCATGCGACAGTTCGGTTACACCCAGACCATCCCCAGACATCCTGTTGTCTCTGCTCCTTCTGCCTTGACTCGTAGACAGAGATAGGAGATGTTTGTTAATTATAAGATTCATCTGGTTCTAGAGGAGGCAAGGGCTACCATAGCACCGAACGACTGGAGTTACGTTGATGGATAAATCAGGTGATTCTTCAGGCTGTCACATTCGTACATGGTGCAGACTGCTCCAGGACATCCGCCGAGATTAGATCATCAGGAGACACTAGAGGAGGAACAGGTTCAACTAGATCATGTTGATGATGTCTTTCTTCGGTGCCATCACATAATGGAGATTACGCGGGTAGGCATTGACGAGAGTATCTTCTCTGAGGGATCTTCTGTCAAGCGAGTACCGGATGCCATGGTGGCGGAGGGACAGGGGAGACTGTTGCACCAGATACATCGCCGGAGGACGGGAGGATTAATGGTCGGGGAGGCAGAGCAGGCATAAGAGGCGAGTGAGATGTTGTCAGGAACACCCAGTAGTAGTCTATTATTATTTTGTTGTATTACTATACTCTCTACTAAATTTTACGATTTTATCACATTTTAAATCTCGATTGCACGATATTTTTTACATATATTATTATACTTCATAAAGTATTAGTCTCTTATTATTTTGTACGTCTATTTTTTTAATTTTGGATCACGTGTTATACTTCATCTGAAAACAAATACACAACTTATAGTCAAAAACACCTGTTCTGATACACTTCATAGATGTATCTCTGAAAATTTACTAGATATGCATCTCCAAAACAATTCAAATGTAAATGGTGTCTGAGTGACACGTATTGAATGTTTAAAATGGTTTCGAAGATATATTTCTGAAATATGTCAACGTTTATTTAAAAATAGGTACATCCGAAAATATATCTCAAAAATCATAAGGCACATGTGAAAATTCACATGGTACAAAATAAACATCTAGGGTGCAATAAGAAATTCACCTAATTTTATCCATATTGTACCATTCAAAGGTGTTGTACATATATTTAAAAAAAATCATGATTTTTAAGATGTTTGAATTTTACTATTTGAATGTATAAAATGCAATTAACTTACACATTTGGATGTGGGAAAAATATCATGATTATAGTTATAATTTATTTCACATAAATTAAAAAATATAATTAATTTTATATGAAAAAGATAAATTATATATGACTTTATAATATTATTTTTCATTTATTACATATTAGTATGAAAAAGAAAGAGAGTTAAAAAATTTGAAGAATAAATAATAAAAGATATATTAGAAAAATATATCATTAATGTTAGATTAGAATTATAAAATAACTTACAATTTATGATAATTTTTTTATAAAGTGACTTATAATTTAGAAAAGAGAGAGTACTAATATTAACTTCTCTCTTATTACATGAAGGATGTTTCATTTAACAATGACTAACATTGACAAAGTCTTATCTCATAAGTCAGCTACATGAATCAACTTTTGTCATAATATTTTATTTAGAATCATGATTCTATCAAAATTGTTGATATTGAGATCTTTCTTAATAACTTCTCTTATTATTTTAGGTTTTGCTCTTCCTCTAGTTATTTGACTTTTCTTCATCTATTCTTCTTACCACATAATATATCGATCTTATTTCTACATGCTCAAACCACCCAAGTCTATTTTTTCATCATTTTCTCTACTATAGGTGTTACCCCAACACACACACACACACACACTCTCTCTCTCTCTCTCTCTCTCTCTCTCTCTCTCTCTCTCTCTCTCTCTCTCTAATATTTTTATTTATAATCTTATCATATTTAGTCTTACCACACATCCAAAACAACATTCTCATCTCAGCTACACTTAGTTTATTCTTGTGTATATTCTTCAAGATGGATTTATCCTCCGCGTTCACCTCTTCTAGACCATACTCTACCCATACGCACGCTCTCAAAATCTCTTGCTACACTCCCACGTGTCCATTCAGATGCCATCTTAGGAAAAAAAAATTTATTTATGGTGTATTCTAAAGTATGTCTTCTAAATCCTCCTAATTATTTTTTTAAGGTGTTATGCTAACCTAGCCTAAGATGTGTAAGCATTAATAACATTAAAAGTGTCTTGTTCCACTATAAATTTCAAGGTTATGATTTGATCTCCTACTTTATTCACATCCATAATATCCTTTTTTCACTCTTTATCCACAATAATATCCTTTTTCCACTCTTTGTCCACAATAATCCCAACCTCATTTGTCCACAATATACTTTATTCACAATAATCCCCACCTCCTTTAACCATCTTTCGATTTTTTATCTGTCCACTTAGTTTCTTGTAGGCACATAAAATTGATCTTTCTCCTAACCATATTGTCTACTATTTTTATAGATTTTTCGGTAAGTGTACATATATTCTATTATCTAAAATGAATCATAGTCTTATGAACCAACTTCTTTACTCACACATGTTCACGGAAATGTCGGAACTCTTGATTTTCTTACTGCATCTGTGTGGTGATGCAATGACCCTTACTCTTTTGACATTGTACTTGAACTACATAGCGTGTTGCTTACGAACAACAATCTAACATTCACATTATTTTGTGGTTGATTTATGTCAGAGATTCAATAAAATTTTACGTTAACTAACGATTACTTAACACGCCTCTATTTATCTAGAGTTTGAGATCGTCTATGCGTATACTATGAAGATTATTAAAACATGTTGATGGGTAAGTAATCGTTTAATGTATAATAGTTTAAATAACATTTTCCTGATTTAGGACATAAGAATTATTTATAAACAAGTGAGGATTTAGTCTCAGACTAATATATAATAAACTATATTTTAGTCTCTATAAAATATATTGTAATCAACTTTCGTCCTTCATTTGTTTATTTCAGAGTTAATCCCTATCACAAATATTTTTATATTTTGCTCACCAAGCTAACAGAAGAAGTCAACCTTACTATGTCAAAATTTTAATTTTAATGAAAGGTAAAATACAATTTTAATGAAAGGTAAAATACAATGAAGAATACTGTTGTTATTTGATATAGTTCTAGATATGTGTATAACACCGATTATAAATTAAAACAACATCAGCTCTTCAAAAAGATAAATATACCAAACCACCAGATTAACATAAGTTGTCTCATCAATTACACATTTTTAAGTTATAAATTATGTTATACCCACATCATCGTATCTTCCAAACAATCCTTCAAATTGTCGTCTTATAAACAATCATTAAACATTCATTTTGTTTATCATTTAAAGTCCCTATACTTCAACAGGCGTGCATTTGCTTTACTAAGACAATTTTGAATTAGCTCACACATTTTGAGATTTTGATTAAACCATCAGTAAATTTTAGCCTTGGATTACTATGCAAAAATATCTCAAGAATTTGTGGGATTAAAACATTCTGTCTAAGTATAGACAGCGAATTAATTGACCAAAAACAACAAAACGAGAATTATAGGATCACAGATTCACAAGGAAGAGGTAACTAAAATCATTAGTCCCACGCATGCCAATCAAGTAGGTGTTGCTAACAAGAAGAAGAGAAATAAAGGACTAGCTAAAATCAAGAATGAAACCATTTAAACAAAAATGAAATGGTGTAAGAATCGCCATTTTGTTCATCTCTCAAGACAATACATAAATGTGCTTAATGAATCGAATGAATCTGCCGGAGCTGTAAATCAGATATATTGTGAATTAATTACGTATGAAAAATAATGAAGCTGCAATCTCCCATTATTCCTGAAAAGTAGACCTATATCCAATTCCAATTATGCCTGAAATAATCTCTGATCGTCATATGAATGACAGGCAGTGTTTCACCACAAAATCCATGCCGCAAGGTTTCGGATGAGTAATCAATCTCTCTGGTGCTGTTATGTAGCCGATACAGCTTCAATGGCACTTCCTAACGGCCAAGCTGCCTCAACAAGGGCATCTTCGTATTTAACTTTCTTTACCAATGTAATCTCTTGCCAGGGGTATATGCCTGCAAACAAGTGAAATAAATAAGTGCAGGAAGATGGGTTACAAGGACTTTGTAGAAACATTGTCATGCATAACTATCCAAACTTTAGAATAAAACCTACCAAACCCATCAACAAGCAATGTATACTGATAAACAAGATCCATGCAAAGATATGGAAGGTTCCCCTCTTCCACTCGTGGATAAGTGGATTTGGCATTCTTGAATTTCGTTTGACAAGCCTGCTTGGCAGCTTCTTCAAAATCCATAGGATGAACTATTGCAACTGGTTTGTTTGGATCAGCAAAACCAGCCTGTGAATAAGTAAAGTGATAAGATGGGCAATGCAGTAGAATTAGGGGCAATGCAGTAGAATTAGAAGCAATGCAGTCAATTATTCCAAGGACCATTACATGAAAAAGTAATTACCTCAGCAGCCCGGTCAAAGAAAAATGAGGCAACAAAGAGGTTTTTCTGTCCATCCCCACCTCCACCATTCCATATCCCGCCAAAAGTGCACTTCATATGTGTACACGATGACTCGTTGACTTTGAGAGCCTTGAGAGCGACGCTTTTGCATTCATTTAAGCTTGCTCCAGAGGACGATGCCTTATATTTCTTTCCTCCATAGTTGTAAGATCCTACGTAGTTTACAAGATCCATTTGTCATCAGAACTTTAAGACAGGAAGAAAATGCATATAAAAAATCTAATTGTTCGGAGCTCTTTTTCTGTATCAACTCAATCAAAAGAGCTGAAATGCAACTCAGTCAAAATAGTACCAGGCATACAGAAAGGGTAACTCAATCAAAGTAGAAGTGGACATACGGAGGAGTTGTAATTACCATCATAGCCAGATAAGATACACGGGTTTTCAGCATCACCGGAAACCTTTAAAATCTCTGCACGAGCAGCTAGTAAACCATAGCGCAAGTAACTGAAAGCAAGAAGTAAAAAAATCTATTAGTCAGCTAAAAAAAATCTATTGATGGGAACCCAAAATACTGTCATGAAAAATACTGCAAAGTATAAGTAACGACTAGGTTCATGAGCTAATGCTACTAAAGGCTGTAAACAGAAAGAAAAAGAAAAAAAAAAGACATTTATTGGCATTTCAAGTAAGTAGAAAAACCTGTGAACATAGAGGTAATATTTTCTTCCCCTCAGGAACATCTCCTTGACATATGGATCATCTCCATCCTTTACTTTTGGAGCCATGGCAGCATCAGACTCAGAGATGGCATATGCCATTTGAACAGATCCACCTCCAAGATCAACTACCCCAACAGTCTTGGAATAATCTTTTCCCAAGTTTCCCAATAGATAGTTAATGGTGACCTATTATAAAACAAGACAAGGTAACACAAACATACTGCATCAGCTCTTTTGAGGGGAGAAAACACCATTTTTTATTCTGTTACTAACAATTATTAGTTCATGTGGATGCTTTTAACTATTAAACTATGGACCAAAACAAATGCTTTCTACCAGTGTGAATTAGTGGCTAGGAAAAGCTATTGGAGAATATATTCAGTATATAACTTCAAAGAAAATATAGGATTTCTAACTTTCTAGTGTTCTGATGACCATTCTTTAGATTTTTTAGTAAATTGTATTTTTATGATATATCTAAGCATTGCTCATACCCTCCTCCTCATCAAATAGAAAAAACAAAATTCAATTATGCTAAAGAAAACTGTAGGTGAAGGAATTTTGTATATGCAAGGGAACCTCTGGCTTTTCATTGTTGAACTGATTAGGACAAAATTTCATCCAGAGGAACAATTTGCAACTGTCAAAATGAATCATTATTTATTCAAATATTTGGCTATTTTGCATTGTGGTAGGAATATAATCAAATCTTTGGAATCTAACAATAAGGAACAAGAAACAAGCCGACGCCTTATGTCTTTCAGAGTTCAGATCATCCATGTTTTACAACACTGACGATGCCCGTCCATAAAACTTATAATGCGGTTCTTCAGAGGAATCCGCAGTTACACACTTTTCAGTGTTAAGTTGATTCCTAAAATCATCTAGTGGAACAAATGCTTTAAATGTATGTTGTACATTTGTCAGAATGAACCTTATTTTTAAAAATCTTGTTTTCCACAATATGATATAATTATAAGCAAATTTTTGGAATCTAACAATCAGGAATCTAACAATATTGAGTAAAGTGGTGCAGTAAGACTCAGTTATGGATAGAACAGGGGTAACGGTCAAACAGTAAGAACGAGTATGACTAAAACTTACTTTCATCAACATAAAACATTAATAGAAGAGAGTTCGATCGGCCCTTATCTTTCAAATACCACCCCGCCGCCTCATCTTAGAAAAGGAGAAATACATAACACCGCAAAACAAAATCCCATTATACAGTATTAAATCCCACAATCCCCATACACCATCAAGCAAACTATGAAGGATCTGGGACAGTTTCAAATATGTATTCCCTAGTTTCAAACATGTATTTCCTTCCCTCCCTGTAGTCTACAAAACTAAACAATACAATCTGTGTAAATAAAAGCTTGTCAATTCTCCTCTAGTCAAGTTACATTCTAGTCTTGATGCATTCATATATTACTAGTAATTGGCAGCATAAAGCCATAGGCACACCATTAAAAAACTTAAGTAAATCACTGATAGAATTATGTTCATAAATCATACCCATTGAAAAGCACCTTCTTGGTTTCCATCCAGCACTGTAACCGCATCAGCATCAGATTTCAACGTGCTTCTGTGCTTAAGCAAATCCCTTACCTTAAATCAACAAAATGCAAGGAAACAAAAAGTTAAAATAAAACTAAATATGCACAGCTTCTTAAAAAAGCAATAGTTGCACAGCTTCTTAAGCCGTTGAAATTGAGAAAGACAAAGCAATAGTTACCGCTTGCAATATCTTTTCAGATGCATCCCCTTCCAAAGATCTCAAACCTGCAGTTGCCTTCATCACCATACAAATTCAATTCAGTTTTTTTCAAAGAAACTAAAAGGTAAAAACAACACACAAACAAATCACAAATGCAATGACACACAAAAACACACACACCCCAACTCGAACTGGTGTCTTCGATCTCAATTCCCGAGGAACAACACTCTCAGCTTTGTCTAAGAGCGAAATCAGAGATTCCGCTGCTTGCTTCGGATTCTTAGCATACGCACTTAAACCTGGTTTAAGCTGCAAAACACAAACCAACACTATGTAAGATGCATATGAATTTATTTATTATATTAAACTACTTTTTATGTATAAAAAGGAAAAAATTGTGTTGACCTGCTCGAAAAGCTCGAGATCTTTCCCAATATGAACGAGATCTAGATTATGATTGAAATGGAAAACATGAACGCGGCTGCCAGAGCTACCGGCGTCGAAAATGACGGCGTAGGAGCCACCGGATTTTTTATCAGGTGAAATTTTCCGGCTAACAAGAGCGTATTCACCGGCAGACTCGTAATTCGAGCTCGAAGGCATCATGTAAAGAACAAACGTGATGAGAAGGAGCGGGATCGAGACAACAAGCAGAGTCCCTCTGAATCTGTAGATCTTATCGGAGAGTGACTCCTGACGGCTGGGACGCTTCAGCATTTTGCTGGATTCGAACTCCGAGGGATGCTGATCGACGTTTGACGGTGGGGAGTTATTGCTGGACTGACCGTCGTAAAGCTCGGTGCACGACGGCGATCGGTAACGGATCTGGCCGTTGGATGCGGTGGCAGGTGGAGCCTTCAATTGCTTGGGATCTTGTAGAGACTCCAGCTCTTTGTTTTGGGGATTTTCTCAACTAACTTGTTATCGAAGACGACGATGGTGGATCTGTGAAACGACGTCGTTGTGTTGCGTTGGGTATAAGGCTCTTTGAGAGTGTGGTTTGGTTGTGTTTCACTCTCTATCTCAATGTTAGTGACAGAAGAGAGAAGTGTGTGTTGTGTGCGGGAAAAATGGTTAAATGGTGTAATGTAACTGTATAATGTAAAATTGAAATGGAAGGAAATGAGGAATACTGAGTTGGTTTTCTTAGAATGCTGAGTCGGACTCGCCGAGTTGGTACTGTTGTTTCTGAATCTTTCCGCGTCGTGGGTCCCGTATTAAATTATGTGTACGTGATTTATTTTGTAAGTGAATATGTTACGTATCATAGTAATTGTCAAAACAAAAAAAGTTACGTAACATTTACGATCTTAAATGCAAAGAATGAATTTTCACTTTAAGAGACGGAAATCGACGGACAACCACACGGTTGTCACACTTTTTCAATATTTCAATAATATTTTTTTATAAATGTTTTTTACTCGTGAGCTATAGTTATATATAAAAATTAATTTATTTTAATATAAAATGAAATAAAAAATTGTGTAAATTAAATAATATTGATTGATTGGATAATAGATTACTATCCAACTAAACTTATAGAATACTTAAATGTTTGGCTTTTTTCTCCTCAATCTAAAGACTTCTACTTTATTTTATATGTATTCCAGCATATGGGATCTTCAACCACATTTTATGTCCAAAGTACATAAAGGTATGTGATAGCATATCATCCTTTTTTCTATTAATTTAATAGTTAAAATTTTATCTTTTAAAATTAATAAATACCCAAATGAATTGATGTGATATGTTATATTATTTGATGTTATTTTTATATGTTTATTTATAATTCTTTTGCTTTTTTAATCACTGTTAGTCCGTTTTACTATGAAACAGAATTATAAATAAGTTGAAGTGATAGACTCTTGAAGTAGTGGTGCAAGTTTTTAGAACGGTCATAGAAGTGGATTTGTAAGGTTGGCACTCTAATACATAAGTCGGTGATTAAATAAAAAATTGATATATTGAAGTATGGAAAGGTTCACATATTAGAGTGTGGCGTTTTTTTTCTAGGATACTTGAGTGCATTTAAATGTCGTTATGTTCCCAATGTAAGATTTGACAGTTACTTTTCGTTTATCTGTTTTTCTTTAAATTAGATCATTGATTAACTTTGTCTGCTTCACGATATAAAGATGTTATGGCTTTTAAACGAACTTTTCGTTTCCATTGCCCCCTTAGAGTTCATCGTCGTTTTTCAAACTTGTATTTCTCTTTCGAACTCTAAAGACCTTTGACCTCCTTGTTATCTCGCTTGACTTGGGTTTGTGTGTCTTGTGCCACCGTTTTCTTTGAGTTGTCTCGTTATTCTTGTTCTCGCAACCCATTGTTCTTTATTCCAGGTACCTTTCTAAACCTTTTACTCACATTTTATCATCCTCACTCTTTTGTAATGGTCAACTTAGGGGTTATACTTATGAAATGTAGAAAACGGCCCTAGTGGCGGTGAATCTTCATCATCAACTAGGTTAAGAACCCGAAAATTCCAAATGTTGACTTTCTAGAAGTTAACCAACTCATCCATAACCAAATTGTGCTCAACGAAAATTATGAGCATGGTTTGGGTTCAAGGATATAGTTAACTCTTGGTAACCCCATTTACCTTGCCTTTCACTCATAGTTATATTAGATCTCAGACCACGACTCTACACTCTCTCGCTCGTTAGTTTAGAGTCGGCCATATACATAGGCATAATCTAGAGGTGCTAGTCCCAATACCACTTTGATTAAGACTCCAATACATACTATGTTTCATACGACTCCTTCTCGACCACCGAACAAATAATGAAAATCAATTTATTGGCTTACCTGGATCGAGTGAGCCTTGAAGAGGGGTCCAATATCACTGAGGCACTTCTTCCTGCATAATGGAGGTGGTTTATTAGCACCGAGGGGTTGTGGATGTAGCCTCTCCTCAGGATAGGAAACGACTATTTTGTAAGGAGGAAAGTTCACATGTTTTTAAGTATCCCCTGCTTTTATTGTCTCTTTAACATTATATTAGCATATTTTGTCTTGATTTTCAAATAACATGTGGGTTGTTGTGAGGATGCTCTTTAAGAGTAAGAAGAACCAGGAGGTTATGGAATCCCAACCTTATTCTCATAATTTGGTGATAGTAGTCTCTGATGTGAGTGATAACTATGAATTTTATCGGTTTTTGAATGATGTCAAACAAGAAATAAGGTAGTTTATTGTAGTGCTCTTGTATATTGGACGGTCTCAACCCAAATTTATGTGTTCATTTGTCCCCTTAGCCTTAGGATGCATAAAAATAGTCTTTGAACAAGTTTGATAGGTCTTAGGCATGTCAAGCACATCAAAAATCAAGTTTGTGTGTCAAAATAACAGCATGTGTCGACCTATACGTGATCAGGCCGACCTATAAAAGCCTCGGCTTTAGTATAGGCCGACATGTCCATGTTTCAGGCAAGCTCATACGCTTCAAGAACGAAGCCTGTAGATTTTGCCCACATGATGTATTTCGGGTCGCCTCACAGGTCGGCCTGAACACCTTCATAGGCTGACCTATGCAAGTTAAAACTTGAAAATTTCTTTTTGCATCTTATTTTTCTTGCATCCTTTTGCCCATTTTCCTCATATACCTATATATACTCATACATACATATTCTAGGTAAGATTTCCTAGTGAATAAAACCTAAACGAAACCAAATTACAAAGTTTCCCATCATCTTCATCTCTTCTTCTATGCATGCACACAATTAAACTACACATAATCATTTTTCTATTGGGTGACTATCTAGATTAGGGTTGATAATGTTCAATTAGGTTTGGTTTAACCGAGAACATTGGGTTGGGGGATTTATGTGTTTCAAATAAGAAAACCAAGGTGGGGTTTTCCTTCAAGATCGGGTTGATTTGAAGGTTTTGGACGAGATCACGTCAACACAGATTCGGCCGAGTGAAAGTCTTGGGACAAGGTGGTTTCCTTGCAAGGGAGTAGCGCGAGACGGTGAATTGTGTTCGGGAATATCAGGTTCCAATAAGTTGTTTTCTTGGGATAATTGGAGGATTTTAGCCGCATTCTTTGTCACTTGATCAAGCTTTGATCAAGGGTTTGGAGGTGGAAGAATCAACACAAAATAATTGGGTTTTTGGGGTTTTCATTCTTCATCTCTTGTATAAACATTTTTTCAACGAAAAGGTTAATAGCACTATCTTAATTCAATTTTGAGTTGAGGGCAGACATACCCATAGCGAGGCCAATTGGGGAACTGTCTAAAAAAATCTTGGTCTCTTTCTCTTCATCTCTTTATTTCTTTTATTGTTGATTACGCAATTTATCGAGTTCGCCATTGTTTGATCAATTTGATTGGAAAGTGATTTATATTATCTTTTAAAGGTGTTGTTGTTATATAATCACAATCACTTTGATTGTGATAGGTTTTAAATCAACAAAACAAACTATATTTCTAATTGTTATCGATCGCACATCAAATGTTCGATAAGTTATTTGTGTGTATTCTTATTTGTGTTTCGGTTCATTGGACATACGAGTTATGATTAACATTGCATTTAATTGATTCGTAGCTTGATTGTTGTTGAAATTTTATGTTCATTATCACTCTGTTTGGTTTACGTGGGTATATTTCTTTTTGACAATAGGTTCGGTAAGACGATTCGATCCGGGTCATATTTCAGTTGCACCTTATTTTGAAAATAGATTTTTACCAATAATTTTTTGTTGTAAAATTTGTGATCTATTCACCCCCTCTAGATCGAAGCTTATCGTCTAATAAGTGGCATCAAAAGCTCTGGTTTATTTCGTGTTTGAGATACATTTCTTAGAAGAATGGCTATCGAACCTAAGGGCGTGTACAACAAGGCACCAATTTTCACTAGCAAAAATTATGGCAATTGGAAAGCACTTATGCGTATTCATGTCCACTCCGTTGACAAAGGTATTTGGGATGCTATCCAAAATGGTCCAAACGAAATAACTATGACCAATGAAGATTTTGTTATAATACCTAAATCGAAAGCACAATGGGATAATAATGATACGAAATTGTTGTCACGTGATTGGAAAGCGAAAAATATTCTCACTTTCGCCTTGGGAGTTGATGAGTTTTATCCCGTTTCTCATTGTGAGACCACCAAAGCTATGTGGGATGCATTAGAGATTGCCCATAAGGGTACTAATAATGTCAAACAAACTAGGATCAACACATTGAATCAAGAGATTGCGGATATTCGAAAACGGTTCACTCATCTTATAAATTGATTAATGCACTAGGTAATCCTATTTCCAATGAACTTGCTAGTAACAAATTTTTGAGGTGTTTAAGTAGGGAATGACAACCAAAGATCATCTCTATTAAAGAATAAAATGATCTTAAGTTGCTTGATCTTACGGATTTTTTTGGTAAGTTGAAAGAGCATGACCAAGAGCTTACTTGCTTGGTAAAATACGAGAAGGAATACGAAAAACGATCAAAGAGTGAGAAAGGGAAAGACAAAAAAGAAGGGAAGAAGTCCACTGCTCTAAATACTTCTATCTCAAGGCCTTCTCAAGATGAGCAAAAGGATATTGAACTTAAATATGACAAAGAATCCGACGAAGACGATATGGGATTATTCATAAAGCGAGTGTCGTGGTGAGAATCAGATATCAAGCTATTAGTAAACTTGAATCACAAATCATAATTCACCAACAATCTTTAATTTATCCAAGGGAAGGGAAAAGGAATGAATAA